TGATTAAACTCTGCAAGCAGAGACTAGTTTGGGCTCATTGGAAAACTGCCTGCCATGTAAGAACGGTACATCCACATGCCAGTTGTTATTTTTCCCTTTGGAGATGTTGATTTGCACACATTTTGATTTGTATACATATTTGATTTGTAATCCTCCACTCCTGTGTTCAGAATCATGGGGAGACACAAGGAGGCAAAGTGTCCTCAATATGAATTATGTGCCCACCATATAACAGTTTATATTATTTTTTTTCAATAGGCATTTTACCCACCCAGTAAAGTTACAATTCCCCTCCTCTAGTCTAGTGTCTAATGCCCACTGTACCTTCACTGATGAAGACTGAACAGCACTCTGAACAAGTAAATTTCCTGAGTCAGCAAAGGCCCTGTGATGCTCTAAATAAGGAGGCAGTGTATACATTTTACAGACTTGAAAAAGTGTGCAACTTGTATGAGAACCTGATGTTGGCAGGAGTCTTTTCATTGTTTTTAGCCTTTAAAGTATGCAATAAAAAGTTTCAAATTTTGATCTAGTCAGTTTGGAATGCAGCTACTGGCAAGTGAGTGCAGAGACCCAAGTCTGTGTGTGTGGCTAGAAAGTGGGATCTCCTGTGGCAATCTCTGAATTGCATGAGCTGATGACTGTAAACCAGATAACGGTTATAGCCACACATTTTATGTATCTGGTTCCAGCTTTGTCTGTACCGGTGTAGCCTTAAAGGCTAAGTGCTGTCAAGTACATTTTCAAAGTGTTCTAAATAGGTGGGCAGTGTATTTACGTTACAGGCCGATCATGCAGAAATAGAAAAGGGAATTTTATTTTTTGAAGGTTATTGCCTATGAGCATCAGTGGATATCAATATTCTTTTCTGAATGTAAAACAGTGCACAGTGTGTGTGCATGTGTGGATATTTAGTGAATGCTCTCTTGTTCCCTAGTTGCCTAGTAGTAGATATTAGAAAATATTATTATACATCTCCCAATTGTAGAACTTTGAAAAGGGGGACACTTTGCAGGCTTGACTTATATGGTGTTCTTTAAGGACTCCCATCATACTCTCCCTTTTTTAAATCCTGCACCCCTCATTATATTCCCTCTATCTTGAATCATGCCTGTCATGCTCCCCATCATACCCATCTGTCTTAAATTATTTCTATTCTGTCTTTCCTCTCATGCACAATCATTATCCCTCATCTGCTGTAAATCATGCCTCTGCCATCATTCTCACTTTTTCCTGAATTATGGCCATTCTGTTTTTCTTCATATGTCCCCATAATCTCTCCTATGCCTTACTCCTGCCATCATGCCCACTGAATTGTGACGATTATGTCATCCCCTTCATGCACCCCCATCGTTCCGTCTCTGTCTTGAATTACTCGTCTTTATCCTCTGGCTGAAGAAGCCTGGCATACTCGCTCTATAAGTCCTGCTGCCGGGTCTGGAATTGGTGGCAGGCAGCACTTTGCTGGCAGATAGTGGGGTACACAAGAACAAATGTCACGTATTGTGGGAACATTCTATAAGCTCTGGGACAGACCCTCTGTAGATAAAATTAAACTTGAAAACTACTTTTTTTATTGGGTAGATATTAACCATTAAAGTAAAAATCAAAAAATATCTTTATTCCAGACACCACTAAAGTTTTATTTTTTTTAAATAACCATTTATAATCATTTTGCAAGTAGTTCTTTTAATATGTTCTAACAACCTTGTGCTCTTTATGAAAGTGTAAGCCTGAATATAGCACCTTTTACTTACAATCGTCCTTGACACACGCTGTTATCTGGTACTGACTGTACTTTTACACAAAATGTAAACAAATTACTGACTGCAAGCATGGACACCAAATAAATCATATAGATTTCCTAAGCCATTCCATCCAGTGGCTAATCCATCCTATCAGTTCCATGGTTATTTCCTTGGGTCATAGTGAACTGGCTAAATGTTGATTCAGCAAACAAAATCTCTGATAAATCCCTGTAACTGCAAATGCTGTGAGTCAGCTTTGCTTTATGCATAGAAACATTTTTTTTCTATATAGCAATTGGTCTATAGCAAACCATCTATCACATTAAACAACCAATGGGAAGGCATGGGAGGGGGTTGTGCTAAGCACAATTTGTATAGAAAAGGGCTGATTTGCTGACATCAGCTGCCTACATCTAGTGACTGTTTTAACATGTGAAGCTTAGTTGGAATTACCACAATATGACATATTCAGATGTACTTAGTTTTTACAAATATGACTGCTTTTTATTTGCATTTTGCGACAGCATTAATTTGACTGTCTCCTGTCTATTTTAGACAGGGCAGCTTTACAAGTAAGCACCTTTTAAATTGATTATGCATTGACCACTCAGGCACCAAGCAGTGCATTGTGGGCAATATGCCCCCAAAGCAGGCACTTTATAGTACCTAATATGCAGTGCCACTCTTGTTGAAAAGATACGTGTGACCAAGTCAAAGATCACTCTAGAGAGCCTCCACAACCCTCTTAAAATAACATTTAATGCTTCTGTTTCAAATAACTGATAACTGCTTTAGGTCCTGATAGATAAATGCTAAATTTTCAGAGTGATAGTGTTTGCCCTTTTGAGAAAGTTGGTTAGCGCATATGTTTTTTGCAGCTTATTTCTGTCATGGCATATATTTTTTTACACAGACATTTGTGAAGTTTACAAAATGCTGTCTTGCTTGAAGGCATATTGCATAAAAGCTAAATGTCCTGTTTAATAAGTGTATGACAGTCAAATTAAAATCATGTTCTGCCTATATTCTTTGCTGAGCTTTCACTGCAACTTCTCTGGTGTGATTATGTGAGAAAGAAAGCTTATTTATGTATCATATATTGGTCTGTCCCAAGCCCCTGCTGATTCTTAACCTTTTTCTGTCTGTTTTGTAATCTCCCGGCAATCCCATGGGATCTCATGGCTCCTGCGTTGTTGTCAAATGTTGCAAAATGTTGCAAATTAGAAACCACCATAATTAGAAGATGCTGCAGAGGTCAGAGTAGCTACAGTTTAATGTCTCCAGGACATAATAACACTGAGCCCGAAGCCTAGTAACACTGAAACTAAAAAGCTGTTCCATTGCTGCTAATATTAGGCTGCTGGCAAATAGATTAAGTGTTTTCAAAAACAGTGGACCAGAAGTTTCTTGTCCAGTCTGCAACCCTTAATTTGCAGAATATCTGCTATGTCTCTGACTTTCTGCAAAACACCTTTTTCCAAAATGCTATATTGATGCCTGCCTTAGATATTATCAAGTGTGGATGTCTATATTTCACAAATATGTTGTATACCGCATGGACAAGAGTATATGCACACAACCTAAATTATTGCGTTCAGGTATTTCCAGCAAAGGATACTGTTAATGCTTCAGCATGTAAAGACATTTTGGACAATTGTGTGCTTCCAGTCTTGTGAAAACAACTTGGGGAATGCTCTTTTCTGCTCCACAGTGATTGGGCCCCTACAGCTCCATGATGACATGGTTTGACAAGTTTAGTATAGTGGAAGTAGAGTGGCTTGACCAGAGCCCTGAAATCAGCCCTACTGAACATCTTTGGAATGCCAACTGCAAAACGGGTCTTCTCATCCACCATCAGTACCTGATCCCACAAATGATCTTTTGGTTAAACGGACACAAATTCACACAGGCACATTTTTGTGGAATTTTGTAGACAGCTTTACCAACAGAGCATAAACTGTTATTGACGCAAAGGTGGCCTGAGATCAAATTTCCTCCCTGCACAGAGAGACATAACATTGTTGGGCTTGGCAATTGTCCTCTTAGGCCTGAGAACTATTGCATGGGGAGGTAACATGCTTCCCGCCATACCTGTATTTTCTACTAAGAAAGATCAATGAAGTGAGGGCTTCAAAACAGTGGGGAGGCAGTGATGGAGTCTAAATGGGTAAGTATGCCTTGCTAGGGAGGTGACTATAAAGAGTTACTGACACTTGACCCTGAATAGGAAAAAGTGGCAGTGTCTCTTCAAGAGTGAGGTACAAAAAAATACACTCACTCTAAATTACTCCTGGAAGGCACTAGGTTCTTCTGTCCCTCCTATGCTTCATTAGAAGATGCAATAAAGTAGGTGGGTGGGGGTAGGGAGGGGAATCTACCTGCACCTAGATGCAACCATTCATTAAATGCAGGTTGGAACAACTTTATTAAAAATAACTTTTTATTTCAAAAAGTTTCAAAACAATCAATATCTTTCCAATCCTCCAGCAATCTGGTCACCTCTTTGTTATAAACAAAACATACTTTCAGTATGTGTTGAAGCTGGCTAGGAAAGCTTACAAATCTGTGTAGGGAGAGATAATTTGCTACACGGTGCTATACTGTGGATTGCAGTGTGTACCTCCTTGAGTTCCCATTTTTATAGACAGAATAGAGGGGATATTCTGTTCAATTTTGTCATGCTAGGGCCTTGTTTTAGTTTGAAGTGTACAGCATGCATTTGTTGCTGAGCAGTTGCTGGAGATGCCCTAGACATTCCATTCACCTCTCATTACAATGAGAGGCAGGTCTAAAAGGATAGGCAGGGGTGCTGCATATGTAGGTAGTGGGGGAAGAGCAGGTCCTGCAATACATAACAGTAGTACGGTAGCACAAACTAGAGTTAAGGTACGTGTGTCTTTTTGTCCTCAAAGCCACACGAAAAGACCTTCCTTTGCATGTGGCTTTGCCAGGCTTCCTATGCCTCTTTTTTGACAATAGTTTGTTTATTTTCCCACAATTTAACAAATGGAATATCAAGATTTGTCCCCCATAGACTTTAATGGGGTTTCATTTTCCAAATATGTAGGACATTTTGTGAAACTGAGCCTACTGTCAGCACTAAGACAAGGACACAAATTTACAAATTAGTCATGACCTATTATTACTGATACTGCTACAGTTACAATATGTTTATTTATATCTTCATTGATGCTTGTTTATATTGCTTTTTTAAAATAAAAAAATCTTATTCTCATTTTGTTTCCTTAACAGGGTTATTTAAAGCAATGCAGGAAGCGGAGAGACATGTTCAGTGATGAACAGTTGAAGGTCATCTTTGGAAACATTGAGGACATCTACCGGTTCCAGATGGGCTTTGTCAGAGACCTTGAGAAGCAGTACAACAATGAAGAGCCACATCTCAGTGAAATTGGACCATGTTTTCTAGAACATGTAGGTTTAAATGATCTGTTGGAATGTTTAGCATTGCTTGAGCACCTGCACTTATCAGTCATGATGCAGTGAACCAGTGCAGATAAAATAAGAAGGTTCATCTGTTTATTGGTATAAAAAAAAACAAACGAACAAACAGCAAACCTAAAGGATAAATGCACCTAGGAAAGATTTCCCCATGGCCTGAGCCCAGGCTAAGCAGCACTAACCCACATATAAAAACGATATCTCAGTGTCTGTAAAACCTGCTTTCCTCTGTGTAGCCTGCACTCTATCCCACACGAACTCCAAGTGCACACATTGAGATAATGAAAGGGAACTGCAGTAGAGAATAAGGTCAGTCTGCGGGCAAATACACCGAAATGCAGACTGGGACTAAGATTATTCTTTATGGTAGTTCCCCAGGATCACAGTGCACTTGGTTGTGTGCTTGTCATATGCTCTGGGCAGCACTCTAATGTCCACTTCAAAGTATTATTACACTTTACATGGGTTATGCAGTAAACAATTCAGTTAAAGGCCAAATCTAAACAAAACTTTTAAACTTGGAAGGGTAAATGTATCTGTATTTTTTTTTATTCCTGCGTGTGACACTGTTGAGGAGATGTCACCTGTGACTGCAGGAAAATAAATTAAGGTTGCAGTTGTCATTTGTACAGGAAGATACAGACAATAATTCTAATGTTCTAACTCAGCTTCATTGTACAGAACAAAAAGATGTTTTGCTGCAGTCTATCTCCCTGTTGGAGACATTTGCCATCACTTCCTGTCCCATTGTTGATAAAGAAACAAATGCTTATTTTTTGTTCCATCTATAGAGTATCCACAAAAGCAAAAGTGCATCTTAGCCCAAAATCTGAAATATTATGCAGCTTACCCGTCCTTAGATGCAGTAGCTGCATTCGTTTTTACTTTTCAGGTTAAGAACATTTTATGCAAGTCCTGAAAATACCTGTTGATCTTGCCAGAAATGCAGTGAGGGACAAAACATACCTATTTATAAGAACTATAGTACAGATTGCAGTTGCAATACCTCCTGCAGCTTAGTGAATTGGCCCTGTAGGCTTATTGTGGGTGGTTATTATTATTACTATTTTCTTTAAAAAGATGGGCATGGGCATTGGCATTACTTTCCCTTCATCCACCTCATCCTCAGCATGAAATAAGCCACCTTTTACCTGTAACAGTTCTGGATTTTATATCTATAGAAAGATATAACCATGAGCATGCACTAACGGACTCTTTAACTCATTCCTTGTTCTATAAAATAACCATGAACCTTCTGCTATCTAGATCTGCTATTTAAGTGCTTCCTACGTCTATAGGGATACTATGAACCATCCATTACAGCTCACTCAATCTTTACTCTTTTAGTTGTAACACATTCATTTGTTGCCAGAAGCAGGTGTTAGGGAATAATGTTCCACTCACTGAGACTGAGCTGGTTACAACGCAACGTGATGGATATGGGGTTTCTGTGTATCCTGCATCTTGCATAGAATATCATCCTGCATAGTATTTGGCAAATATCAATGTAGCGCTTCTTTAGTCAGGCAATCGTTTTGATAGATAAATTAGAATGTACACTGGTGATTTCTAATCCACCTCATACCAGATAGATATAATTTCCTAATAAAGAGAAAGTGAACTAAAAAAAGAAAAAAAATTACCAACTGGCAGGCTTTTTGTGATAGAAGAGACTGTGTAAGTCTCTTCTGCCATAAAAGCTTCTAACTGCCTGTCAGCATTTTTTTTTCTGTGCACTGAGCCACACATGTGCAACTCAGCACACTGTTTCAGCATGCCAAGATGAAGTAATTCCAGTGCACATGCATAGGAATTACATCATTGGGGCCTTGTTAGTCGAGCTAGTCAAAGGAGCAGCACAGCATTGGAGGGGATAGTAGCATATAATGGCTAAAAGTTCCTGGTGGCTTTTTTTTTGTTACTTCCACTTTAAGGAACACCTTTTGCAGTGATTCTGACACAATTGGGTTATACAGGAGTTATACAGGGTTATACATGAGGAATGGAACACTGACAAACAAACAAAAAAAACTCCCCTGTGCTTTAGTTTTTTGCTATTGTCCTAAGAAAATGAATGTCTTTTCACTTCTGAGAAAAGTTTACCCATTTTACTGCTTGGAAAGTGACCTTCTGGCACTGGGCTCTACTTATGGCGCATTCCAGACCTCTGTGTACTGTGCTAGTTAGCCGCTCTGTGAGTAAAGGCCATGGACAGAGCAAAAATAGCCTGGAATGTGACCTCCAGGTACTGAGCTGTGTTTGTGGCACTCTCCAGAGCCTTGTGTACTGTGTTAGTTAGCCAGAGAGTGCTTTCCAGTTTCAGAACAGTGGCACAGCCCCTGGTGTGCTCAGTTTCTGAGGACCTTTAGTGAGTATACTGAGCATCAGTAGCTACTGCTTTATTGGTACAGTTGAATTAGTAGGGTTTATTGGTATTCCGCCGGTTTCCAAGGGAAGGTGTTAACACGTTGGGGAATCAAGAGTTGTGTCACTAGTTACAGTGTCGCACATGCATATTCTGCACTCTGTTTCCATCTTTTTCACATGAGGTACCACTTTCCCATCATTGTTCCTATTTGCAAGAGACATGCGGTTTTCCACCTTTGTTAATCCTTGCTGCTGCCTACAGTGACCCAGTCACCTCTGGCTATTAAAACTCTACTGCTCTGAGCAGTAAAGTTGCACCCACAGTTTAAACCTACTGTTCTCAAGTAAGTTGTGCCTGTTTAATAGTACAACATGTCAGATGCTAAATGCAAGGGGAGCAGTCACACTGCATCGGTCCTCTCCTGCTTATGATCCACTAACAGTTCCGGGGTGGCACGCATTTCCTTTCTCAGGGACCTAAAACTGATAGCCTGGATTGTTGTTCCCTGCTTGAGTCGACACACTCCTCGGAGTCTCCCTTTACTCTGTCAGGCGTGGCCCCATCCTCTGCTTTATACAGAGAGGAGTTCCCTGCAGCTATGTTGGAATTTTTGGGCTAAATTGCAAATATGATTGCTGACATAAAATTTATGAGCTAAATAGCAAATGAATGCAAAGGCTGTACACGTTCTTTAACACCTTCCTCTCCAGAATCATTGCTTGATATACAAGCAGCTGTAGAGGAAACAGAACTGCTGCTGTGGAGACTCTATCTGACAAGAGTCTCATAAATCCTTGAATTATGAATTTGTTACTGAGGGGCTGCAGGATGATGCCATAGTTCCCAGGCTTACTTCAACCTGATCAAACTTTGATTTAAAGGCATAGTTGTTGGGGCCCTGGTCTTGGGAGACAGGGGTCTCTCTGATTCAGTAATTCCCACACTGTTAAAAGCTAGGAAGCCTACCTACCATTGCACATGTAAGGTTTACTTTACCTGTTGTATTGAAAGAAGATTTCGTCCCAGCAAAGAAAGAATCATGGAAAGAATCCTAAACATTCTTCAATAAAGCCGGTGTCAGCATTTGGTACCAGCAAAAGGCCAATCTCAGCTCTTGCAATCTTATTCCAAAGACTGATAGCCTCCCATTTATTGGTCAAGACTTCTGTAAAGGAAATCTCTCATGTGGCTTCTCTTGTACAAACACCAGTGACTCCATAGGATTTTAATATGGTACTCTTGGCTCTTCAAACACCACCATTTGAATTCATCAGTGACATTCCCTTTTCAGACCTCACTTAGTGAACTGAAAAAATATTATTAAAGAGGAACTCTAGGAGAATTTATTCTTAACCCTTGCAGTGGACCTTCCCCTGTACTGTAAGGCCTAACTGCTTGATTTCGTATAGGGAGTTAAATAAAAAAAGTTATACTCACCTGAATCTCAGAGCTGGCTGGCTCCTAAACCTCTTCCTCCAGCCTGTCTCCTTCTCCACTGCTTCATTGGGATATCCCTTGGCGTCCTGAAGTCCTATACACCGTGAATTGGACATGATGACTCAAGGATCCTCAGAACGCTGGAGTGGAGGAGGAGAGAGGCTGGAAGGACTGGTCTAAGAGCCAGCCAGCTCTGTGGTTCAGGTGAGTATAACTTTCTTATTTTACACCCAAGACGAAAACAAGCACTTAGCTCCTGCAGTGTGTGGGGGTAACCCCACTGCTAAGGTTAAGAATGCATTTTACAAATGTATTCTTTAAGGAACCATTAGGGCCTGTGTGAACTGGCTTTTGTGTGCTTCAAATGGGTTTTGCATTCCCATACAAGTGTATGGGGAAGCAAAACCCAATTGGAGCAGGTCAGAGGCTCAGAAGAATTGATATCAAACTGATGCCATTGACACCAGTCCTTATGGCCTGCAGTCTATTGAATTTATATAGAACCCCTGTACATTTTGTTTACAGCAGGCATGTTGAAGCAAGTATATAATTCATAGCTGTAAAGTGTGTTTGTTGTGTGGGTTTTGGCATATCGACTGGTGTGGCTTTACTTGTGAGTATCAGATGCATGACTTAAATGACTTTTTCTGTTGTTGTGTGACAATGAACAATATGTAAAGTAGTATTAGGTTAGAGAAAAATAGTAGTAGGTTAGAGAAAAATACAATTCTGATTGGCTACCACAGGCGGCCCAAGAAAATGTTAGGGGTGAATGATATTTCAGTTACATATACTTAAAGCAAACATGACAGATACATTAGTGTCCAAACCCATAAAGGAAGTACCTTTGATAGTTTTCTAATGCATTTAATTGACTCTAGACACAAACCACACAAAGGGCTTTCACCTCTGTTACAACTAAGCTCTTCCCCCTATAACTAAACAGCATGCTGCCTTTATAAAGTCCAATATAGGAGCCCCAGACAGGCTTTCGTTCCAGAAGATGAAGTTTTTGTAGACTTTGCTTCTGATCATCAGTCATTCTTTATGATTACACTTACCTTCACAAGAGTTCATTGAATACACTTTGGTGGCTCTAATATAAAAAGTAGAGAAGATCAGGAGCAGAATACTTTATACCAAGCTGGGTCAGATCGGAGGGGTCTAC